TTTTGGGCCTTTTGTAAAGGGGCCAAGTTGTCTACTCTGGTTGGAGGAAGAGTGCTTATGAGAGAAGAGTTCTTGCCCAAGACACCCCTTGCCTTGCTTGAAGCTATCCATTCAAACAGCACATTCCTGCCAGTGGCGTTCCACAAACATAAAGCTAAAGCATTGCCATAATTCTTTTTTTTTCCTCCTCTTTGGATGATTCTGGTTATAGAACCTAGGGAAAATGTCAGACCAGCACTCTACCACTGAGCTACACTCCCTGTCCTATTATATTTCCAATAGTTTTGTGAAGTGCCCGACTATAAAAAGAACTCTGGAACATGAATCAATAAGCCAGGAGCTTCCCAATTCTCCCACAGCCTTTGCTGTTCTTGACAATGCTGTTGCAAACACAATTTCTAAAAGCACTAGAGGTGGTGACAATTAAGCAAAACGATGCACTGGGCATGGTTCCTCTTAAAATCGGCACATGTGAGCACTGGAGTTGTTTTAGGGTACTTGGAAGTTGCAGAAAGAAGAAGTAGCTCAGTGTCAAAGAGTTGGAACATTTGCAAAACTTAATTAAAGACACAATTAACCCTAATATTCTGAGAATTACCCCACATTGATAATAGCTAAACATTGAGTGTATTATTATGTATTATATACTGAGGTAAGAATTTTTTTGATTCTCACCCTTAATCCTCCCAGTTTTACTAAGATGAGAGTACTAAGATGAGGTTAAATAAATTAGGTCACATTTTTATTATACCAGAGTTTGTACCGGACCAACTCCCCTCTTAACCTATAAGTGAATTGTTAGGCAAGTATTTGTTGCATCTATCTATCTATTGCTTTCTCTTTTAATATGAATGTACATTTCAGTATCTTAAGTTTGCTAAAATACCTAAAGGGCAAGGAGGTGTCCTATTACCAGACTGCTGCAGTAACTTTGTTAGAGCAATACCACAAAACTTAAAAACTACTTACTACAATTCACCATTGTAAGATTAGAAAATAGACCTTGCTCATTCTTTCAGATTGAGATTTACCTCCTGCTAGTTTTAGTAGAAATTCTTTTGACTAACTTCTGACCACTAAGGGTTAGGTAGAATGAAGCAAGTGCAATGTAGTTGACCTGTAATTGATCATCTTCTATACCACATAATACGGTTTGTATTGAGACAGTGCTCAAGCAACATTACAATGTTAGGCTGGTGATGCAGCTCAGTGGTAGAGTACTTGCTTAGCACGTAGGAGGCCTTGGGTCCAGTTCCCAGCACAAAAAAAAAAAAAAAAAAAAGATGGCTAATGTCTTCATAAGTGCTGGGAACTATGTGTATCCATTATGTTCTGAGGACTTGATAAAACTTTTATATACATTTCCCAAGGAAAATTGGATTTACCTCAACCTCAATTTTTTTGGGGGGGGAGGGGGGTGGACAAATGTTTCATAGAGAACAGTAGGAAGAGCCAGGCATAGTGGCATACAGTTGTAATCCTGGCACACTGGAAGCTGGACCAGGAAGATCTCAAGTTCAAGCCTACCTGGGTTACAAAGCAAAACCAAAACATGAACAGAGTCTGGTAAGAGATGGCCTGTGAATGGCTGTCAGTTGGTTAGTAGCAATGGTATACTGTTCCAAGTTATTTGTACATCAAACCAGGGTGCCGTTCACCATACAGAGAAGCTTCTTTGGGCTAAACTGTTAGTACTTTAGGCTTAGGTCAAACTAATATTTCCAATAGACAACTATTCTAATACTCGAGTTCAAAGCACTGTTGTTTTCTTCTTATTCTCTCCACCATCTACCAGATAATTATTCCTTGATTCCATCCCCAATTCAGGTTTTCCCCCAACTCTTGGGTAATCTAACATGGAATTATGGATTTATTTCAACCCTTCCTCTTCCTGTTAAATCTTTAGCCAATGAATTTAGTTTCCAAATCAGGAACATGCCATTCTTTTTTGATTTACAATTCTGGGAATTAAAACCTAGTGTTTCCCTTACAACTGAGTCATGAGATAGGGTGATAACTTTGCCTTGGTTGGGGTTGAACTCATTAACTTCCTATTTCTACCTCCAAAATAGCTGGGATTACAGAAGTTTGCCACCAGGCCAGGCCTGCTGCATTGTTTTTTGTTTTGTGTTGCATTGTTTCTAACTAGTATAAGTTACTATACACAAAATAGGTCCATGTTACACAAAAAGGCAGGTAGAACCCTCTCCTAACCAATGTAACCTTCCCAATATTGGCCAATGTCTATCCCAAGTACACAATATCTAAACACTATGCTAACCTAGCATCCTGCTGTAACAGTCACTGGCTATTATTTTCTTATTTTTGCACCTCAGCCTAACACAATGAGGAATATAGCAGGCACACATTTTTTTTTTTTTTTTGGTAGAGCTGGGGATTGAACTTACAGTCTCACCCATTTTAAGCAGGTGCTCTACCAATAAACTTACATCCTTAGCTGAACACTCAAGTTTTCATCAAACCAAAACACAGGCCTTTTCTCTCTCGTAAGTATAATTCAACAAATATCAATCAACTAAGAAGTTTCCCTCCCTCTAATACCTAGAGAACTTGTTAAAAACTCACTTTTAATTTTCACAACAGGTTTCATGTACATTTGGTGGGCAGTCTTGCCAACCTATGTTTAATACAACTTCTTTATTAACCACAATTACACAGGTCTGACTGTTTGCAAGATGTAAATCAAGGTCAAACACGGACACACATGCCTGCCTCAAGTATATCAGTAATTTAAACTCTAGGAATAAATCCACAGGCACAAATGTGGACATGTAGTAAACAAAATAATGAAAGGAGCATTTCTCTCTACCCACCAGGCCAATGAGGAATAAAAAACAAGAGCAGGAAAATAACACACACACACCAATGATGGATGTATTTTTCTATTTTGGTAAACTCAATGGTTGTTTTTTTAAAAAATGAATCAAATACAAAATTATATAAAGATGACTGCCATTCACGCCTTTGAAATCTATCTGTAAAATGATATACACAGTCTGACACCAGTGACTTACGGGTATAATTCTAGCTACTCAGAAGGCTGAGATCTGAGGATCATGTTTTGAAACCATCTCAGCAGACAACTCTGAGACTCTTTGATCTCCAATCAACCAGCAAAAAATCAGAAATAGAGCCGTGGTTCAGTGGTAAAGTCCCAGCTATGAGTGAAAAAGCTAAGTAAGAATTCAAGCGATAATACCAGCACAAAAAAATAAAGATGTAAGTACATAAGAATCAAAACCAAGAACAATTTAAGTATGTACAAACCTAGATGATTTGGGAAGTGTGAAACCAGTTTAAAAATAGAGTATTTGTTCTCAGCTACAATTTAAGTCTTAACAGTTGGACAATCAGTTAAGTTCTAGAGCAAGAAATGAACAGGATAAATTGTACAAGTTAAAATTCCCAAGAATACTGGTATTGTTTAGTTCCTTTAGTGAGCAAAACCAATGCTTAATATAATGTAGTCTTTATAGAGACAGTATCTTTTAAGATTTCATTTAAGAAAGTTCCCTCCTCAAAATTTCCTCTTATTTCAAGAAATTCCCACATGCCTTACTCCAGTAAATCCCTGTATTGCTGCTACATGTAGTCCCCACTAACCAGGAGGCCACGTTGGGAGGACTGAAAGAGCTGAAGTTTGCAACAAGACTCGACAAGATATCTAGACCACCATTCTCAAAAACAGAGTATGTCTAAGATAAAAAGAAAAAGAAAATCTAAGTACTTTAATAAAACCACCATAGGGGTAGTCTGAAATATCTTATTTCTGCAGAAGTTACATGGACAAGGAATTCTTTTAGGGTTTCATATGTTGAGAAAAAAAAAAAACTGTGTAGGTTGAAGCAGAAATTGAGGATGTGGATTTTAGAGCCATCATGGAGATATCTATTATTTGCCTTCAAACTTGTTGATATCTGAAAAGGCAATCTGGTAGTTATTTTTTTTTAAAAATCAAAATTAGGCTGAGCACCAGTGGCTCACACCTGTATTAGCTACTCAGGAGGCTGAGATCTGAAGATCATGGTTCAAAGCCAGACTGGGCAGGAAAGTCTGTGAGACTCTTATCTCCAACTAATCACCAGAAAACGGGAAGTGGTGCTGTGGCAAGAGATAGAGCGCTCACCTTGAGCTGAAGAGCGTCCAGGCCCAGAGTTCAAGCCCCATGACAGACCCCCCCCCCCAAAAAAAATCAAAATTGTATTTATCAAAACCTTAAAATGAGGTCAATAGGTATGTCATGTTATAGGTTAAAAACCTGATGGAACCAAGTGTAAACTAAAAGTGAATCAATTCTAAAGTGTCAAGATATCTATGCCCATTTTATTAAGTATAAACTCCTATACACCCTGAACTTATTCAATATAAAGAGATCAGCTCTTACAATGTTTAAGACAATTTAAACTTTAATGATGAAACATTTTGAACATCTCAGAATGCAAATATTAGCTGAAAAATAAACAGGTAAAAATTAACAAAGGATGGATATGGTCTTTCCAAGACAGTTTTTGGGCTATCAGCATGTTCTTATCTCAGTGGTAAGTAGGATATTTTTTAATGGTAACACATGATTTTTTTAAAAGACTCTTTTAGAAGGAAGACACAATTTCCCCCTTACTAAAAATATTTATACTTCCAATTCACTTCTTTTCAACAAAAAATGCCCTCCACTTGTGGTAATAATGGAGAAATGAACCCTCTACAAGGTAAGACATTAGTATCTTTACCTAACGTGTAGCAACAGCTACACCCAGTGGCCAGAGGTAAGTAGTGAGGTTTTCCAGCCACATGGTAATTACAAAAGATGAATTTGGAAATGGCCATTCTTCAATTCACTAGGAAGATTACCTGTTACTACAAATTAGGTTTTAAGGAAACACTCAAGAATCTTTGGGAACAAAAGCCTTAGCTCATAAGCTTGACACTACTATCCAGAACAATTTAGTTTTTGAAAGCAAAAATAAAACTCAAACCAGAGAGAACATACAGATACTTTATTGCTCACCTTTCACACAAAGCACATCTCCCGCCATTTTTCTTTCACAGCTTGACAATGTTTAAGTATACAAAAACCCAGCAAGAAGCATCCTGTCAGGTAGATGTCAGTAAAGGAGAATGGGAAACATGGACTCAGCCAGGCTTTTGTTTTCTGCAGCAATAATAAAGGGCCTCCTGCACTAAGCAAAACTCTAGCTTACTTTGTTTGTAGTGCATTTCTTCCATTACAAAAGAAAAAAAAGTGTCCTGCCTAAAGCAAACTAACTTGTATTTGCTGAGCCAGTGGTATTAACTCGTGCATAAAACAAATTTTGGTTTGCCAATTTTTCTAGCAGATTTCAAGTAAAAATAAGGTTGAAGGAGAAACTTGTATGGATGCAGGTCAGTTTGAGTTGCTACACTTAATTAAATGCCTATATGTACTATAGGTTCACAATTGGTTTTGCTTTTATAGTCTTTATGGATTTTGGTCATGCTCAAAATTTTCAGAGTTGAGCATATGGTACATTATTCCATCAACAGAATAAGGCTACTCAATGTGCTATCTGCAGAGGAGCTCATTTAATAGGAACGGACCTAACAGGTCTACCAGGGAACAAATGTGGCACAACCTCTTGGAATAATAAAACGCCAACCCAGGGCAGAACTGTGCTTGCAAAACAGACATGAGAACATCTGACGCAGAACACATAGAAGTGGACTGTGAAGTATGAGGAAGGTTCCTAGCAGCAAATCTAAAAAAGCCTAGGTGAATCCTCATCTTCAAAACCGCATATTGAAAACACGAAGATTACTTTAGTCAAGTACTTTCTTCAAGAGTATGCAGCATGTTCTGACTGTGGAATTAGTCTACTGGTCAATTAAAGGCAATTTTAATAACCTTTAAAAAATTCTTTTTCATAGAAAGGAGAGACGTGTTTTTCAAACAACATTAAGTCAAAACAAAAAAAAAAAAACCAAACCAACAGAATCGAATGAAGACCCACAAGTACTTATGGCAAGTAGGAATCTGCCTGCCACTGGGGGCCTCATGTGAACTCAAATGGGGTGCTGGATCCAGGACTCCAAAACTAAGTTTCTATTACTTGAGCTCTAGCAAAATGTAAGGTGCTGCAGCCTCAACTAGTGTAGTGTCTTCCCTGCCCAAAACCAGAATGACTGTACTGGTAGCCTCCATGCTGGAAGTGCTGCTCAAACTGCCCCCCTTGGTGGTACGTCTGGCTCCCTCTGCCTCCCCATCCTCCTCCCTGGCCTCCACGCCCACCCCGGCCTCCTCCTCGGCCACCTCTCCCACCACGACCACCGCCTCGATCGCTGTGGTGCCCACCATCTTGGTATCTATTGTCCTGCTGGTATCCACCACCCTGGTATCCGCTTCCTGTGTATGAAGATGTCTGGAAGCCCCCATAACCACCGCCTCCACCTTGATAGCCACTGCTGTGGCCACCATGGTAGCCACCAGCCTGGAAACCTGAATCTCGATAACCACCATCTTGGTAGCCACCTCCTCCACTCCCTCCATCTGTCCAGCCTCCTTGGTGTTTACTTCCTCTTCCTCCCCCTCGGCCACCGTGGTCAAAGCCACCACGTCCACCTCTCCCTCCTCCTTGTTCATGACCTCCTCGTCCTCCATATGAGGAATGTTCATAACCACCTCTCCCTCCTCCTCGGCCTCCCGTTTGATGCTGGGGGCCATCTTGCCTTTTCTGCCATGGTGGCATCTCTGGGGGTGGAGGTTCAATTTCATTGGGTCTACCACCTCTGTCAGGCACTCTGCCCATCAACACCTATGGAATAAGCAAAGATACCTTAAAACCATCTCACCTTATAAACAGGGATGAATGTATTGGAGAGATAATTAAAGTACCATAATCACCTTATTGATGGCACAGGCAGTCTTTTCTCTTATAGACCCACTACTTGTCCTTAAAATCTTTGACAAGTCTTGTCTTGCAGCCAGAAGATGGGCAACAGAAACAGTGCTTTTAGGAGATAATGCTGAGCGCTTTGGCTGGTAAACTTTCGCTAATTTTTCTGTCTGACTCTGTTGAAAGAAAAGGTTCAAAGACATGACAGTTTTCAAAATGAAACACCCATAATAAGTTAGAGAACTAATAATGTCATTTACTAGGTGCTAGATGGTAGAAAAAGTTACATATTCAACATTGCTCCTACCTAGTCAACAAATGTCTCGTGTAAGTGCAGCTGCCAATGCAAGGAGTAAAGATGAGACTGGGCAGGATTATCCCCTTTGACACTGAGGAATCATATCTAAATAATTCTTTAATGTGTACCTTAGCTCTGTCAGACCAGCCAAAGGACTGCACAGTGACATCCAAGCGTTTTATTAGCAGCTTTCTCCGGACTTCATATTCATTGGCTATGGCTTGGTTGATTGCTTCTATCTTTTCCTAAAGCAAAATTTAAAGACTAGTTAGAATTTAAAGCGACTTGCTCCCATGCTCTTAAAAAGGAGAAACTATGTCTGTTTCTTTCAGAATGGAATCCCTAGTATTTAACACATAGTCCTTTCCAGTTGGAAATATATTTATACTTCGTAAAATATTAATGCCTAGTGAAACAGCAGGCAAAAAAGTTAAGCTCAAACAAAACATAATGAACAATTTATAAAAAACCAAATTCTTGTTTAGATTTCTTGTAATTCACTGGATGAAGTTTGTTTTTAGCCTAATGTGGTTTGTGGCTTGTGCCCATTTGATTATTGGGAGTATGCATCAAAACAAACTTCAATTTATTTTAAATGGCTTGTGATATAGTCACAATTATAAAAGTGCTTCTAATTGTATACAAATAAAATAACCTGCACCGTCGTAAGATTCACAAAAATGATACCCAAGCTATCCATGTAGAAAACTGTATGTTACAAAGTACCACTTAAAAATCACAAACTATTAGCGTGGATATTAAAAACCCCACAAAATCAGTAGATGATTCCTCACAGAGTTTTTTGAGATGACGACTACTCACCCAGTGGGCTGGTCCCATTGGCTTCTTCAATAAAGGCTTTCCCACATGATTAGGTGGAACTTTTGCTAAGGTTTCCTTTAACTGACACAAAAACATGAGTAAATGAATGAAACAATCTAAAAGTAAACGCATCTTCCTCCTCTTCCCAATTCCCATCATATCTTGTCATCAAAAGAAGACTCCTGACAGAGGCAAAGGTGGAGGGGTGTTTTGAAACGTGAATGTAAAGACCCACGAGATACAGACACTCACTTGTCCCACTCCTCACGTGCCTACAGAAGCATGAATCCTCCACTGGACCTAGAGCAGTGCCTGACAACAGTGGGCACTGAGTGGGCATTTGCTGAATGGATGAATGAACACACAGAAGATTATGGACTACAGATATATTGCTGCGTCCCTGTAGCGTTCACCAAATCTGTGCATCCTGGTGCCGTTCTGCCCCCTTGCAATTGTACCAATTCTTACAATCCAGCAGATAAGCATATAGGAAATAGCAACTATAACAAGTACCATTTTCTTTTCCTCATTTTTTTTTTTTTGTTAAAAATCACTAGTTCCTAACCAGTTACATTAAAACATCTTAACCGTTGGTGATATGTGGCACAAACATAATTCTGATTTATTTTCACATACTAGATTATGTTAGCAGTGAGTAAATCCAGTTACCAATGGAACATATAGACCCAGTGACTGGACAAAGCAGAACGATTATCATCCATTTCTACCGTCAGCAGAGAGGACATTATCATTTATTCAATGATGAAGACTGGAAAAATTACTTTCATCCAAGTCCAACAATAAATTAAGGATTTAAATCATAATTCTTTTTAGATTATGTGTACCTTACTTCAGCTTAAACCAAAGTGTCAAGGTGTGTCTTTGAAAAAGAAGAATGGTGGTATGTTTTTAAAAACACTAAGACACTAATTTGTCTTTAAGGTATCCATCTAGAAATTTAAACCCAAACTCATTTAGTAACAATTACTTATTAATATGCACATTTGATTCCCATTAAGAGAAATAAACTTAATGTTTCATTTCAAACAAACGTAGGACTATGCCTTTAATACACTACAATCTGGTACTAAAGGTCTTACTTTTTTTTCAATCCCGCTGAAGAATTGGAACATAGTTATACTGGCTGGAGGTTTGGACATTCCTAGAGCAATACAAATGCCTTTCAACTCTTGAAAGACCTCACTACCGCCTCCTTCTTGAGCTTTTTTTGGAGGAGCATTCACACAGAGCATTCTGGCAGCTTCTAGTTCTGAGATGAGGTATGCTGAAGTAAACAAAATAAGATTTCAAAATGAGATACAGCTATAGTTAATAGTCATAAGTCTGGAGTCACAACTCTATAGACCTAAGGATATGTAACTTTTAAAGCTGCAAGAATGGATAAAAACAAGAAAGAAAAACCATTTTTACCTGCAAATGACATAACATATAAAATGGTTATGTAATTCAGGTATTTAACCAATATATACTATTTAAGATTCATTTAAAAACAAGCAATTCTTTGAAACCAAAAGATCAAGGTAGATCACTTATCTAAAGATTTGGATTGTTGTCTTCTGCTATTAAGGAACCTCCAGAACAGGGGTTGGCATTGGGTAAAAATAAATAAATAAATGAACAGGCCAAATGTTAGTGAATGTTTCGCTATTTGTGAGCACCAGTGATAGAATCCCTTGCCCTCGTGCCGCCCAGTAATTGGGCAGGTTGTTTAGAACTGGGATGAAATGTTTCTTCATTTTAGCTTACAGGAGAGGTCCTTTCCCACATCTCCCATGCCGACTTTTCCACTCTTGTTCTTCTCAGTGTGCCTTTCCCCACGAACCACAGAACTTTCACACCACTTCTTTGCAGAGCCACCCCTGCATGTACCATCCTGAGTGTTGGGTTCACACAGAAACAGTAGAGGCCACTGTGCTTCAGGAATTCAGTACAAGGTCTAGATTTTCAACCCCACTCCTTAAGCCTTTCCAAGACATTTCAATTCTTGTTGAATAATTAATAATCACTGAGTTTAGGGAAAAACAAAAGATCTTTTCCACACCCCTAAATCCTATTTGAAAAACAAGCGTGATCGACTTTACTCACATGCTACTACCCCCAAGGCCAAGATGCACGTGGCCATAATTTTGGTAATTTCTTAAAAAAAAAAAAACACAACTGAAGTTCTGCAAAAATTCTAAATAAAATCTTAACGTGTTGCATATAGTGAACTGTACATGGGTGTTAAATGGCAAAGAGCCACAGTTATGAAAACTGCTGCTGCAGTTCACCTGTGCCCTGCCACACTTGTTTGTTTCCATACTGTCGGGCTGCTTTCCTGCTACAGCAGCAGAACTGTGTACTGTCACCAACACCTACTGGCCTCCTCGGCCAGAAACATTTACTATCTGGCCATTAAGGAAAAAATTTGCCAACCCTTGTTCTAGAAAATCATATACTATATGATTTAACAAACTGGTTCTTGAAATGTGGGGTAACACAGTCAGGCAATCAGAAAATGAATTCACCAATGTAATCATAAAAAAAAAAAACACTTTAATTGTGTTCAAAGCACTGGAAAGGTACTAGAAATCCCATTAATAAAAGATTATCTCTACAGACAATGTTATTAAGAATAAAGATATGCCCCCCTCCAAAAAACAATGACCAGCTCGTCCTCTTTTAGGAACTCAAATCTTAACTTACCTATGAGAAATAATCTGAGAATCATAAAAGACCAGTAAATATCCAGAACTGCCCGTAACCTAATATGTAGGAGGCTCTACTATTCAAAGATACTATGTTTTACTAACAATTCTAATGAGGTTTATTTATTCCCTTTCCTCCATATACAATGTGCTAAAAGATTCAAATGACGCAAAACAATGTCAAAGTAAATAAAGACATTAGGGGAAAAAAGATTCAAATCAGTGAGGCAACAGTGCTGAAAGAATTGAAATTACAGCATCAAGATGTGACTGGTACTTGTAAAGATAAGCCATCCTTAACACAGAGCAGTGAAATGCTAGAATCAAATAGAGGTTGGTTATAGGCAGAGGCACAGATAAAGAAGGAAATAGTGGGATGAACAAATGAGAAGAATGATCTTTAGCCGGTTAGTGACTTTTAGTTAACTTGGCTATTTAATTGAGAAGCAAATGGTTGTGTCCCTCAAAAAGTTTCTGAGGCATTAGCTAAGTCTGTCATAACCCTGAGTATAAAATAATTTGTTTAGTCTGCTTAAGAGGAAAAAAATAAAAACCACGTTATGGAGATTTATATTCAAAGTGAGTTTTAACATTAGTGCTAGCAGCACTGCACTTGGAGCCCTTTGGAAGAATTAGCAATTCAGGGTCATTATCAGGCACTCCACTGTAGTTGTTACCTTCCTATGTTGGCAACCTTCAAAGTGGCCAATATCACTGCTAAGGATAAGCAAGGCTGTAGAGGAAGAACCAGCAACCACCACAGTGGAGCCAGTTACTGAGTGGTACCGGCTGAAGGATGCTGAACGGCTGTGCAGGAACGATACGCGGCATCACTCCCACAGCAATTCTGAACCCTACCATGCACATCTCTCTTTTAAGATCATTCCACAGGGGGAATGCCAAAGGGGGGAAAACTGGGAGTCATTTAGTATCTAGGTAGAAAGGCTCTAACACTTTTTCCTTTTAAACAACTTAACCTTAACTATGTTTCAGAGAACATTATAAAGATAAAACATTTGTTAAAAGCCTCTGAAATATGTTTGTTATAATGCAAACTTAAATTCTATTACTCAAAGCTTAATATGGATGTGTTTCAGAATGCTACTGGTTATGTATATTGCAAAGTTTATACAAGGCAATAAAATTTGAAGAGACAGTTTATTAGTGTGTACAAAACATGAAGGAATTTTTCATAAAAATTTCCTAGAAAGATCAGTAGAAGAGCAACTATTCAAGTACCATTGCTGACTATTTAAAAAGGTAAAACCCCCAATTCACCAAACTACAAAGAAATAGCGGTAAGACGAGACACTAAATAATTACTCATTAACTAATGAATGCTTATTGTCCTCAAAAAATAATTCAATGCTTTATAATTATATTCAAATAACTCAATGCTTTATAATTATAATTCAGAATTATAATTATTATATACAATTATAATTATTACAAACGTCAGTATTTCTACACTACCTTCTCCATCTATTTAAAAATGTGCTTCTAGTCTAAAATATGGAAGTTTAGTGCTTGCATAACTCTACCACGAGTCTCATCAGGTGAGGCACAGCAGCATGACTGACACGGAAGGTGAAAGGGTAAGAAGAGCAGCAACCATAAAAATAACAATGCTACTGGTACACACACCCTGCCCAGCAGCTCCTGAAGTGGACAGTTGAGAAGTTTTCTTTCAAGTAAGTAGTATTTGAGTTATATTCATTATGGGACAAAATAAAAGAATAACTTGCTTAGTAGTCATGAAAAACATAAACAGGAAAGTAACAGCTGCACTATAGGAGCCATGAACTTACTGAGCAAAAGGAGGCAGTTCTTCTGAATGAGAAGGCGCTTGGTCACATCCCCAGATGTCAGTGACAGATACGGGCAGTTCATCTCCCCTAGGAGCCCACTCACCTCAAGCTGGAATTCTTCAGCTTCACTTGGACCTTTGAAGAATGAAAATAACCATCTCATTTAATAATTCTGCTCATTTTTCTGCTGGTGTTTTACTGCATATCAATATGGTAAATAGTTTTGGTAACATTTTACTAGGCTGTTCCTAATAAGTTCCTTCTAAACTCATCCCTTTTTCATTCCACTATGCACCTTCTTCTTATGACGTTCCGTTCTTCATTTTCATGGCTGCTCACGTCTGCCCATTCCAGCACTCAAGTTACCATGATCAACAAGCTTCCTTCACAAATGCTCCCTCTACTTGTGCCAGTCCAGTCCTCACTGTCCCAGCAAAGGCTAGCCTCATTTCCACCTCTGAGTTTCACTTGCGTTACCTCCTGTGATTGATAGGCCCACTCCTCTCCTCTCCTCTAATTAATCCCACTCATCTATCAAAGCTCAGTGGTCTTGCTCTCATCTTTCCTTATTACCCTGGCTCTCGTACATTTCCTTGCCCTGTGAACCTCAGAGGATGCATCTAATTATGGCACTTCCCTCCTGCTGACATCCCCATTGAAACCTCAAGGCAGCACACATGACTTCTAGCTCTAAATCTCCGTAACATGTAAAAGAGCATACAGTACACTGGGTGAGCCAAAGGGGAAAATGCGTTCTCCCTTACTGTTTTGCTTTTTTCTATTCAGTGTCAGAGGAGATAGAAATTAAGAGTCACTTTTATGTCTCAAGTCCTTTACTCATCTGTGGATTAGGACAGCATTCTCTAGTATGAGGTCTGCAAAGGTTTCTACAGAGCTGGGGACAGGAGGAGTACAACAGGAAGTATTGCTGTGTATCAATCATTGCCAGTGTTTTGTCAACTGTGATCTATGAAGCCTGAAGTTTCCCAGCTGGATGAAGAGAGTGTGGTAAAGGTACGGCTCTCTACTTCAAGTAGAACAGCTATACTTTATCTGTTTCATGTGCTGGCTTCTCTATGTTTCACTTGAACAAAAAGACTGCTAGTTAAAAGCAGTCACCCTATATAAGTGTTTTCAAAGGTTTCTCCAGAGGCAGTACAGCACAGTGGTTACAAACACAGGCCCTAGGACTGACCTCAGGCAATGTCCTAACTTCGTGCCATACAGTGTATGAATAATAAAACCCACTAAATAGGGTTGCCCAGTAGTTTTTTTTTTGGTCGGTCATGGGGCTTGAATGCTGGACCTCTTCAGCTCAGGCTAGTGCTCTACCACTTGTTTCACAGCACCACTTCCAGCTTTCTGGTGGTTAACTTAAGATAAGAGTCTCATGGACCTTACTGCCTGGGCAGGCTCTGAACCGCTATCCTCAGATCTCTATCCTCCTCAGCAGTTTAACTGAGTTAACACCTGCAAATTTCTTAAAACATGGGGCATGTTCAATGAATTGAAACTCTATTATTATTACTAGTTTTTTAATAACTAGAATTAAAAGGTTTGGGCATACATGAGCACTTCAGTTCCATCTCCAGTATATACATACATACACACACACACACAATAATTATATACAACAAACATATATACATTAAATATACTAACAGACAACAGTGTAAGCTTACAAAATGAGATTTTGTGGAGAAAGTACAGTTTTCCCTCAGGGTAGGTTAACAGATGGGCATTTTTGTTTGTCTCCTGTTAGAGGGTTAACCATGGTAGAATGGAATTAAGACAGTAGAGTATCAGGTTCCAAGCCTTTGTTTCTTCTGCAGTTGATGAAGTAGTTCTAATGTGTTAAAATTGGCAAATAAAAAACAGCTCTCACTCCCATAAATCGGAGGCTGCTGGATGGGTTGTACTGTTATCTAATGATACATTCTTGTGATTAAAAGAAATGTCTTAATAAAGCAGTCATTCTTCCCAAGCATAGTAGAACTACACACGTTTAGCTATTTTTTGCTATATGTGCTGCTGGACTACTAGACTCCTAAAAAAGATTTCCAATTTCTAGTTCCAGAACCTACGATCACACAATCCATGTTTTAAAGAATAGAATGTTTAGCCAAGTGAGGAGTTGCACACTTGTAATTTCAAAACTTGGGAAGCTGAGGCCAAAGGATCATGAGCCCCAGGCTTTTGGGGCCTACATAACGAATTGTTCAAATTATTGTTTAAAAAACAACAAACAAAAAAGCAAGTCATAAAAAAGTCATATATTCTATACTGGTACTCTCCCATTTTTCTGTACTTCAATAACAGAGTCTTTTCAGCCTTGACAATTTTTTTTTTTTTGGTTGTCGTTCATGGGGCCTGAACTCTGGGCCTGGACGCTGTCCCTCAGCTCTTCAGCTCAAGGCTAGCACTCTACCACTTGAGCCCCAGCGCCACTTCTGGCCTTTTCTGCTTATGTGGTGCTGAGGAATCGAACCTAGGGCCTCATGCATGCAAGGCAAGCACTCTACCACTGATCTACCTTCCCAGCCCTCAGCCTTGACAATTTTTGCATAGTTACATGCCTTTTTTGGTTTTGAACCTTGGAATCACCTTATCTCTAAAAACAATGAAGGAAAAAAGTTATCTTGACACTTTCATAAGATTTCTCTTTACAAATACAAAAAGACTAAAAACTATAATCACGTTCAAATGATAATATTCCCATATTATTTTTAAAATAAAAGCAAAAGTGAGTGTTTACTTACTGTTCGTTGCTTGCACATTTTCTTCCAGTTTACAGAGTACTCTTAATTCAGACACCAGCCAAGCACAGAGTTTGGTGAACTCAGGGGAACTGGCTCCTTCAGAGACTGCCTGAGACAGTGCGCCATCATTCAACAACGGGCCTTTGTAACTGACAAATAAGAAATTAAATTTAGAAGAGTATAAAAATTATACCTATTATAGCATATCTATATATTATATATATAATTAATAACTTAAAGTATAATGGGCACTTTCTAAATTTGCAAATATAAACAAATCTTAGAAGTGTACTGAGTCATTAGAGAAGTGAGTCAAGCTGGCTGGAGGTGGTGCATGCCTATAATCCCAGCACTGGGAAGGCTGAGGCAGATAGCTGTGAGCTCAGAGTTAGCCATTCTGAGACTGTCTCAAAGGAAATAAAACAAACTGGGCATATAAAGCTCTTGTGCAAAACAGACAGGAGGATTACCTGATTTGGAGGAGCCTGGTCTACATACAGTTCTAAGCCAGCTTGGACTACATAGCGGGACCTCATCTCAAAAATAAAAGCAACCAGGCGCCAGTGGCTCATACCTGTAATCCTAGCTACTCAGGAGGTTGAGATCTGAGGACTGTTGTTTGAATCCAGCCCAGGCAATAAAGTCTATGAGGTTCTTATCTCCCAATTAATCACCAAAAAGCCAGAAGTCAAACTGGCTCAATGGTAGAGTGTCAGCCTTGAGCAAAAAACTCAAGGATAACTAGTGCCCAGGCCCTGAGTTCAAGCCCAAGGGCAGGAACAAACATACACAAATTCAAAACCCCAAACCACAACAAAATAGTCAAATGGTCAAATGACTGCATTTCAGCCTTTCAAAGTAAGTGTGAATACTTAACATCATCACAGACACTACCAAATAATGTCAACTTCTTTACTGAAAGCACTTATTGTGCAAAGGTTTATCCTCTTACTGAGACTCAACCAAGGATTAAAACCAGATTAACAAGTGATAGCTAATTACACTAAAACTATTTCAGAAGTAAAACGTGAATTACCTTTTTTAGAAAAATTTTCCAACCTGTGCACTGGTGGCTCATGCCTGTAATCCTAGCTACTGAGGAGGCTGAGATCTGAGGATCACGGTTCGGTTCAAAGCCAACCCGGGCTTAGGAAAGTCCGTGAAACTCTTATCTCTAATAAACCACCAGAAAACCGGAAGTGGCACTGTAGCTCAAGTGGTAGAGCACTCGCCTTGAGCTTGAGCTGAAGAACGCAGGGACAGTGCCCAAGCCCAGAGTTCAAGCCACATAACCAACAACAACAACAACAAAAAGACATACTAGCACCAGAGAAATGTCAAGACTTAGTATTTATTGGTCAGTTTTTATATCCTAATCCTTTAAGTAGTTCCAATGTACTTACAAAAAAAAAAAAAAAAAGACTATAAAATGTTCACAAACATTTGCAACAGTAACAATGAACTACCACCTAAATTTTGGAATTTTAAGTGTTTGGGTGTGATGGCATGTCAGCAATACCAGTTATTTGACAAGCGGAGGCAGGGGATCTCAAATGTGAGGCCAGCCTGAGCAAATTAGCAAGGTCTGAATTTAAAAAAAAAAAGTAATCTCAAAGTATCTGTTGTTCAGACTCTATTTTTGTTAACTGTATTTTTAATCTTTTCTTTTTTCAGTACTGGGGATGGAACCCAGGATGCTGCACTTGCTAGCCAAGCACTTTGCCATTGAGCTACATCTCAGCCCTCAGACTATATTCTTTTAAGTGAAATATTGATGAAAAGAAACACTATTAGAGAGAGGTTAAACATGCTTGAAGTGATGTTGAGAGGTATAGGTATGCTAAAGAAACAATTCTTGATCCCTTTAAAATGTGCTTCAAAAAAGATATTAGTCTAACTTCTAAATGAAAAAAACAACAACTGTGTTATTAGACAATGGAATCAAAACAGGCCTAAAACTTTTGTTTGACAGAGTGCTTGATTACTAAAATGGCAAGTTAGAGAGGGCAAGCATCAAGGACCACTGGTCATGTGACCTTCTTTCATACTGGAACTATGGTATTCAATACTGCACTCCTTCAACACTAACCTTAGATTTACTTCTCTCAGGTTTACAGGGCTTCATACCTCTTTCTGTACACAGACTCTCCTCAGTGTTCCTCCCAGTCATCATGTGAACTTAGGGTATCATTGTACCCTAAAAGTCACAGTCTCACAAGGCAAGTGTCCTTCACAAATGTTCACTCAATGACCAACTTCACAAGCCATTCAGTCTGAGAGGGCCCTCTAACACAGAAGCCATAGTGCACAGTGTGACGTGTGCTTTGTTCTAAAAGGGTAAGGTCCCTCATCTGGAATGTTCACCAACATACAGAACAAGTTCTGAAGAACAATGGTAGTTTAGCAAAAAAAGAAAAGGTAAGCATTATTACTTTCTTTAAACACTCCCCCCCACCCCAAAAAACTTCGAGTTACTTAAATTTCTAATAAATTTAACCAGGTGGACTTTTGCGAAGCCTCAAGGTGCCCTTTTTCTAGGTCAGTCGATGAACTAGAGGTACCTTTGAATCCCAATTCTTTGCAATTCCACTGTAATTATAAAAGCCTCCTAAAGGTTACCTAGACCTGGAAAAAGCCTGCGGGGAAGTTTTGACAAAGGAAGCGTCAGGTATAATCCAGCTAGCCAAATCCATAACTTCTCTTTTTTCTTTTAATTTTGGCATGGTTTCCTGTAGGCAAATGCTCACACAACTGGCTTCTAGAACTACATTCAGACCAAGAGGTTCCAAGCTCTCAAGTTTAGTGAGAGTGTACCGATCTGGGTGACCTCGAGAGATAAGAAGCCCTGTTTCCAAGCTCATAGACACGGATGAATTCTGGGGTGGGAAACTGTTCGGAGGAGGAGACGGAAAAGGCAAAAAACACACTGTAGGTTCCCCGTGGTTTGCAGATGACCCTGGGCTAATGGGGCTCCACCAGGCGGTGTGGGAGTCAGCGTAACTGCCAGTGTTTCCCGGGGAGGCGGGGACAGGGTAGGTGCTCTACAGAGCTGGTTGGAGGAAGGGAGGCAGCCGCCCAGACATGTGGCTGAGGGAAGCCTGGGTGCATGCAGAGATGACTGAGCAAAGGAGATTTTTTTTTTTTTGGAGTGGAGGGGGGGTGGAGGGAGGGAGAGACAGACAGACAGAGACAGACAGACAGAGAAAGTGGGGTGGGGCAGGAGCAGAGTCTCCAGGCTAGAGTAGGCAACGTGGAGGACGAACCGGAGAACGGGGAGTCAACTTTGCCCCCCCCCCGGGGCAGGGCAGGGCTGGGGGAGCCGGGGAGGGGGTGGTGAGGATCCGAGCCCAGACAATGACGCGCGGGCTGACAGACGGCGCGGTACCGCGGCCGAGGCCCCGGGCGGCGGGCAGGGCTGGGGGCGTCGGGGCGGGGAGGCCGGCAGCGGAGTGGGTGGTTCCGGGGTCCCGGGGCCGAGCAGGGAAGCGCGGAGCGGACGCCGCGGGGCGCGACGTGGGGAGGCAGGTGCCTCCGACCGAGGCGCCCGGAGTTCCCGGGCGCCGGCGGGGCGGGCTCGGCGAGCCCCGTGCCCCGGGCAGTCTTACCCGAGATCTTCCAACGACTCCAAGATGTCAGTCTCCATGAGGTCACACTCCATGCCACTGTGCTATTCAAATTTCCGAGTCGCCAAGCTCCCCTCTTCGCCGGCAACGCGTACACTGGCGCAGGCGCTCTCCTCCCGGAACTTCCAAGTCGGCAGCTGGCGCCTCAGTTTCCGCACTGCGCATGTGCGGAGACTGCGCGAGCATCCTGGTCCCGCCTTCCGCCCCGCCCCACCGGCTGAAGGATGGACGGGGGACGCATAGTTGGGCGCATGCGTCCTACTACACAGTGAAGCCGGCCGCCCGTAGAAAGGTAGGAGGAGGCTGCGTGGCAGCTGGGCTTGGGTACCTCGCGGTGGGAGCGCGCTGGGCGGTCGGTGTGCGCATGCGCACATCCTTGGGCGAGGCGGGTGGGGCTGGAGCTGGTTGGGGGTGGGTCTAGGGACTCGGGTGGGTGTCGGCCGAGGGCGCCGGATCTGTGCCAGCCTTGGACTAAGCGAGCTGTTACTCAGGGGGGCTTGCGGGCACCTATGAGCATCACCTGAGGGTCATGAAAAAGCAGAAACACTTGGGTGTCCCAGGAATGGGCTAGGTGCCAAGAACAAGCGGATAGCATGCAATTTGAGTGTGTGTGTGTGTGTGTGTGTGCGCGCGTGTGTGTGAGTGTGTGTGACTTTGTTGAGTTTCAGGGATGCAGAGGAACAGGCTTTCCTTTGCACCAATGTAACAACAAAGTTGGATCGTTTCTCCCTGTGCAATCTCTCGTTGACTTTTTGAGCTCATCCCAGATACTATCTTACTTTAGGGAGCCAGGGGTGGTGAGCTGTTATCAGCATCGGGGTTTGAGGCCACGCCATAGAACGTGTCTTAAGTCCAGGCACTTTGCACGGGGAAGAGATGTTTTTGGCTGCAATATCACTGCTTTTGACAAAATTGGCCAGGGTATAACATTCAGCTCACTGGGTTAGGGATTAAAATATATATATACATATATATATATATATATATATATATATATATATATATATAATTCTTGATTTTATGCTTGGAAATTGCTGCGAAATGTTTTCAAAATGATGGCCTATTTAGAAAATTATATTTAGCCATAAATTGGCATGCCCTTATATTGTGTAGGCATTGAATTAAAAGTTTTCGTGTTGCTACCAGATTTTATTTAGCAGTTTTCCCCCAAAAAATCACATTTAATGGATAAATGTTCCTTCTCCTCAGTGATAGATATTTAAATTTCTTGTCCTGCATCCTGTGGAGTGGAAGAAAGTTGTTAATTTGCCTGTTACCCACTTTTTCCTCTGACCCACCCCATGAGGCTGACCTCATTGTGTAAAGGCTGTATAAATGTCATTTGCAATTTACAGGTGAGTATATTAAGGCTCAGTACCTTAATGATTGTTAGAATTTTCAGGACCCACAAGTAAGAACTGGATTTTGAAACTGAGGTAGATCTGGTTTATTTAGCTATTTCAACTGAAGAGTTTTATGTTGAATATGACGAGAGAAAAATTTAGCTAGTTGAATTTGTATGAGTTTGGATTTGTTGAATATAATTATCCTATTTTAATGCAAGTGAATTTTTTTCTTTTTTCTTGATTTTGCTGGTCATGGGCTTGAACTCAGGGCCTGGGTGCTGTCACTGAGATTTTTCACTTAAGGCTAGCATTCTACCACTTTGAGCCACAGTGCCACCTCCAGTTTTCTGGTGATTAATTGGAGATAAGTCTCATAGATTTTCCCGCAGGTGCTGATTTAGAACTGCAATTCTGAGATCTCAGCCTTTGAGTAGCTAGGATTACTGAGTAGCTGGGATTACTCACAGCTTTAATGCAACTGAAATTTTATGATGGGGTTGTTACAGAGGCTAACCAAACAAAATCGAATTTGAAAAAGTTAAAGGCTTAGTCTTGGCTCATTTTTTCTCTCTCTGCTCCTTCCATCTCTCCCTGTCTATTTTTTAAAATTTTTATTTATTTATTTTTAGATAGGGTCTTCCTATGTTGCTTAGGCTGACCTCAGATTTGGTGGTCCCCTTCACTCAGCCTCTCAACGGCTGGGACCGGAGCCACACCAATATTCTCACTTTGACCCACTTTATGATGAAACTTAAAACATAAAACTAGGGAATGGAGAAGTAATCATTTCTGTGAATTTACTAACCTCTTTCTCAAGTGTACTGCTAGCTTAAATGGAGGATTCTTGATATGGCATTTTTATATGTGTTATTATTTGGTTCGTTAATGGCCTTTTCTGCAGTTACAAAAAAAAAACAAAACCCTGACCAAATGATGCATTTCAATGCTAGGGTTTTTTTTTTGTGGGGGGGGGGGTGGGGCTGGGAATGTACCTCAGTGATAGAACATTTTCCTAGAATGTTCCTAGCAATAAATAAATAAATAAATTTCAAGATGGTACACAAGTAGGCTTGATGAGCACAGGTTTAAAGAGTTATGTAGTAAAGAGGAAGTAAAGGCCACTCAGGGAATCAAGCAGCAGGACCTAGAAAGTGGTTGTCCATCTTGTGGTTAGGGACTTGCTATTTCATAGTTTCCCTCCCAACCATTTTTTCTCCCTTTGGGCCATTTTTCAGATGGTGATTGGTTTATTTGAAACAAACAAGAACCCTCCCCTGCGTGGTAGCCTCATAATGGTGGCTTGTAGGAGGGATGGCCAGAGTTATGGCAGGACCACACCTGCAGGATTCCCATGGGTCATTGGGGGGGGGGAAGGGGAACCCCCCCCCCCCCCCCCCCCCCCCCCCCCCGCGGCGGCAGTGAGGACAGGAGAGGAGGGGCAAGCTGGCCTGAATCAGTTAGATGATGTTTTCCTTCAAAGGGATCCACTAGATGGAATCTTTTTTATTGAGAAAATATTTGAATTTATATTGTTACTTGGTGATCTAGAGACCTCAATCAACCCAAGTTTAATATGATGAAAGAAATGATGATCTGGGTCCTAGGGAGCTCTTGTTTTTGCTGCAGATCAGCAAAAGAAATAACTTTTGAATACTTTCAAAAGGATCAGATATGTTTGAGCAGCAATGAACTTCCAGTTTTGAAGATGGTCATCTAGAGACTGGGTAATTTCTTGTTGAAGGTTTTCTTGTGATGAGAAACACCCAGATGTGCTAACACATGGCCTTTGTATTATTGATGGACTTTTGATTCTAGATTCTTCCACCAAAACAGTGTAGAATACTAATTATGAACCTTCCTGGATGGACTGAAGGTATGGCTCCAGTAGAGGTAGAACACCTGCTTTTCAAGTAGTGAGACCCTGAGTTCAAGCCCCAGTACTACCAATCATAAACAACAACAGCAACAAAACCAATAAAAACCAACTTCCTAAACCAGACATAGTGGTAGGTACACACCTGTATACTCAGCACACAAGGAAAGCTCTAGCACAAAGAGAAAGCTCCCAAGTTCTAGGCCAGCCTGGGCTAAACAGTGAGACTCTGATCTCAAAGAAGACAAAACGTACATACATACATAAATAATAATAATAATAAAAAAGCCTTCCTGCTATTCATTTGTCAGAAGGGCTGGTCTTTATTAGTTTCTCATTCACGATGGAACAAATTTAGAGGCTAAAGGCAATACAAGTTATTGCATAGTTCTGGAAGTCAGACATCTGGAGTGCATCTCAAAGCCAGCAATCATGACACCAGAGTATTAGGCCCCAGGCCCAAACTGCAAAGGTTCCACGTGTCACAATCCCAATGTGAGAATAGTGGTGAAGGGCAGAGAAAGGCAGTTTGTTAGTTGGCATGGAGGCATTACATGAAGAGGCAAAGTAAGCACTGTGGCCCAGCTTTGAGGTACAGACATGAGCTTTATGTTTAAATAGAGAAAACATGGAAGTAGTGGATAATGGTTGAATGCTTATGCAGCTGAGATTTTTAGTGACTTGTAAAATTTACACTAAGGGGCTGGGAAGGTGGCTCAGTGGTAGAGCACTTGCCTTGCATGCATGAGGCCCTGGGTTCGATTCCCCAGCACCACATAAGCAAAAAGAAAAAAAAAAGCCAGAAGTGGTGCTGTGGCTCAAGTGGTAGAGCGCTAGCCTTGAGCTGAAGAGCTGAGGGACAGTGCCCAGGCCCAGAGTTCAGGCCCCACAACTGGACCCTAAATAAAATTCACACTAAGCTAAATTTTGTGTGAATGTGCTGGAATCCAATTCAGAGTCTCAGGCATGCTAAACACTGTGATACTAAGCTACTCCCCCAGTTCTGGGGTCCCCTTCGCTTCCCTCCCTCCCTCCTTCCGTCCTCTCTTTCTTTTTCTTTCTTCCTCCCTCCCTCCCCTCCTCTCCTCCTCTCTCCCTCCCTCTCTTCCTCCTTCCTTCCTTCCTTTTCTTTTTTCTTTCTCTTTCTTTTCTTCTCTTTCTTTCCTTCTTTCTTTCCTTCTCTTTCTCTCTTTCTTTCTTTCTCTGTTTCTCTCTTCCTGTTTCTCTTTCTTTCCTTCCTTTCTTTCCTTCCTTTCTTCCCTCCCTCCCTCCCTTCCTTCCTTCCTTCCTTCCTTCCTTCCTTCCTTCCTTCCTTCCTTCCTTCCTTCCTTCCTGTACTGGAGCTTGAACTAAAGGCCTGGCTCTGTGACTAGCTATTTACTGAAGACTAGTGTTTTACCATTTGAGCCACAGCTCCCTTTCCAGCTTTTTGGTGGTTAATTGGAGATAAGAGTCTTACTGACTTTCCTGCCGGGGCTGCTTTGAATTGCAGTCCTCAGATCTGAGTACCTTGAGTAGCTAGGATTGAAGGTGTGAGCACCTTCAAAGCACCTGGCTTTGTTGTTGTTGTTATTTTTGAGACACGATTGATCTCCATATTGCTCAGGCGAACCTTGTACTTTTGGATTCAAGCCATCTTCTATCTCAGACTGCTGAGTTGTTGGGAACTACAGGCACATTCCACTGTGTCTGGCTAGGAAGTAATATTTATAATGGCTATGAGGTAGGTATAAACTTCCACATACCTGTTTGTGACAGAATGGTTCCTAGATTAATTTGAAACATTTCCTTCTCAAATAAATGATCACCCTGTGAAGATTAGCTACATTTTCTGTTTTTAATGTATTTGCTTTCAGAGTGGCCCTTCAACAGAGAGAAACTAAGAAGCCATCAGTTTATTTGTTCACAAAACACCTTTGT